CTCACAGACACACTGTCACACACTGTCACACACTCTCACCGACACACTGTCACACACTCTCCCTGACACACTCACACTCTCACTCTCCCTGACACACTCTCACACACTCTCCCTGACACACTGTCACACACGTGAGGGTACGCACAGGAGCCTTGGTAAGGAGTGCTGGAGCTGTGCCACCATCTCAGATTTAAACTTGCAACTCTCAGTCACAAGACTGGAGCCCTGAGTGCTGCCCACAGCCTGGCAGCAGCTGTTCCAGACAGAAATACCACAGAAATCCAAGATTCTCCAGCTCCCCAGCCAGCTTGCTCCTTCCGCGTGCTGAGAGCTCCAGCTGCTGTGCAGGGCGCAATGTGGGACAGACACATTGCCTTTGCTCTTAGCCCCGTGGGGCAACACACTTCTTCTGGCTTGCAAGCTTGTTCCACACTCCCACACCTCCGAGTGTAAAGAACGGCCTCCGTTCTCTCTGTTAAGAGCTCTTCCCTGTAGTTTGCACAGGTGTCCTCGGGTTGGTATTCCACTGTTTGATCACCAGTTTTCGGCACAAGGCTGGGATCTTGCCACCCCTCTGTGTCCCTGAAACCCCCCAGCCTTCTTCCTCTGCTGCAGGGGCTCTGGTCTGCTGACCAGGTCGTCCTGCTCAGGAGACTCCGCTCTGACGGGCTCTGTCAAGTAAAGAATCATCGATCAATTGATCAATCAGTGTGTTTCTGAGACAGTTGCAGGAATGTACAGGGGGGGAGAGTTAGATCCCACACACGCCACACACACACACATTCCACACACACCCACTCATCTCACCCTACACCCACACAGTTACACCCACACCCTCCTCACACACCTTCCTGCTGAGAAATCACTCCAGCCTGTTCGGCGCACTCTCTGTAATTAAGGGCGGATTACAGTCTGAGGGTTTTGTCTGCTCGGCACAGTGTTTATGACCCAGTAAGAGATCATGTCCACACTCTGCGCTGCGTCAGACTGCTGCTGGCCCGTCCCACCAGTCAGCTGGGTCCCCAGTCTGCTCCAGTGGGAATGACCAGACGTCTGTGTCAGACATTCACCTGCAGAGACTGTGCAGCTCCAGACTGCTCTCTGCTACCTTGAGGTTGTTCATTAGCTGGCAGATCTTTCTCAGCCACTTGCCAGCAGGAAAGACATCGACTTAGAAGCATCAGAGGCAGATAAGCAGAATTTAATAAACCATATAAACCTCTCAGTGAATGAATGATATGATTTATCAATACTGCTTTAAAATACATTAAAATCTAAGATGTTAGCAAGGCTTGTGTATCAATGTCTTGACTGACAGCAGTGTAAAGCCTGGAGTGGATCAGGCTTGTGTGCACTGGGAGTGTGACTGACAGCACTGTAAAGCCTGGAG